AAGATCGAAAGAAAAAATATTTGTAAATAACTTCGAAAACAGCGATCATTCTATATATAGCTGGAGTAGTTGATTAATTAAGAAAGAAAACGTACATGCCACTTAAGAAAGAAATTTAATTAAGAAACACAATGTAAACATCGTGCCGATGTGACACAAAAGCGTATTTGCACAGTTTATACAGCGAATATTTTTGTTAATCGCTACGCTAAAACCAGTTTGATTGCAAAAGGTCGATGCGTGAAAGGCAGAGAATCGGGAAACCTTTCTCTTTGCGAGATACATTAATTCTACTTTGCGGAATGTCAGCGCGTCGTATAAAATTATTCGCACAAATACTACTGCACTGAGATATTATATTATCTCGCTGCTGTTATCTGCAATGATTTTCGTTGTATTAGTATATACGAAGGAACATGTTATACACTTCCGCAGGTACGCATTATATCACCAAGTCGTGATTATCTGATTTTTCACGGATGGTAATTTATTGAAATAGCATAGACTGAAAAATGTGTTTTCGAATGAAAATTTAGTTTTCTAAATTATTAAATCATTTAATAGGTTCTAACTGATAATATATATATATATATATATATATATATATATATATATACACAAATTATTTAGTAATTATTACAAGATATATGTATAAATAGATATATATGTATAATTAGATATATGTATAAATTATTTAGCAGTTATTATAACAGAAGCAACGGAGAGAGGGAAAAAATTCCATAGATTCGCGTGAGATAAATCACTCTAATCGTAATTCACGGTATGAAGGAAACAGCACCTCGTAACATCGCCCGCACGTAGACGCCGGCTCACAAAATAACGGACGCCTTTCCGACGTATCATCGTCAAATTTAAGAAAGCCATTACGCACCCCGCGTCTCGCCGACCTTTCCTCTCTCCATGACGCGCGTTGCGCGGCACCACGGCGAGGACGGCGCGCGGGCGGGGGCGCGCGGGTGGTAGGGTGTCAGCGGCGGTGAAAAATTCGCCAATTAAAAAAATCTCATTTCTCCGTGGTAACGAGGGGTGGCGCGCAATTAACGTCAGACGCGAAAATGATTTATGGCAGGCGGGGGAGGGGGAGGATGCGCGGCCCGTGGGCGGCGTGGTCGGGCTTATCATAAATTAATGAATTATCAGGGCGCGCGCGCGCAAGAGAGAGAGAGAAAGAAAGAACCAGTGAGAGGAAAGAAGAGAGAAAGGGAGGGAGGAAGAGAGAGAGAGAGAAAGAGCGCGAATCGCGCGCGATGCGTCAATGTGGCATCTAAAATATTCATCGGGCGCGCACCGGTGCGCACCGGGCCTCTCCCTGCGCCATATTTATCCCGCCTAAAAGTTTCATGCTCCCCCCTTGGTAGGGGGAGCTCTCTTCCGAGGGAGAGAGACGTCGGCCGATAAAAGATACGGAGAGGTATGTAAACCGTACGATACTTTGGGACGCGCCACCTTGAAAATTTCGACTTCGACGGTCACTTTACGTTACTTTCGATGCGATCGGCATTGGCGACACTGCGAAAGAAAGACGCCCGAAAAAAGTATTGTTTCTTTTATCTTGACTTTATATCGTGCATTACGATTAGTAAAATTTACCCCATGCGGCGAGACATTAATGAATCATTTGACATTAATGAATTATTCTTCCTTCTCTTATCGTTTGAAATTTATCATTTGCTAAGAATGGTACAAACTATAAACGCTTGTTCTTCGTTCAAAAAAGATTAATTATATGTATAATAATCTAATAAAACCAAATTCTGATGTTTTAATACGGAAAAGTGTAGTAGAAAAAAAATAGTTCAGCTACACAGCGATAAGAAAAGTGAATAAGTTCTATGAATGAAGAAAAAAATGTTAATTTTTTTATAATATGGTGGAATGGAATACAAGAAAATAATAATTGTAAATCGTTATGTATGATAGTGATAGTTATATAGTATAGTTATAGTATAGTTATTATATATGTAAATGTAATAAAATTCATAAAATTTATTTGATGAAAAATATATCCCAAACAGCACATTTCATCCAAGGGGCGTCCTGGAGACGCCCTTTGGAGGTGTGTGCTCTATATAAGTATTAAATATATTAAAAACATATCATTGATACAAAAAGTGTGTCACAGCTGTTATTATGGCAGAGCAGATTATTATTATAGCAGACTGATTTCAGAAAAAAGTCAGTTTATCAAATAAAAAATAATTATCGTTATATGTATAAAATCTACATAATTATAGTTATTTCATTATTTCATTACTCTGTATAATATATATGTAGTTCCATACAATTGATGAAATAATATATATGTTAACATCCAATATCATTTTTCCTGGAGTGACCGTATTTCAACAATTCTCAGTGCACTGCTTTTCGTGACTTTATCTAACTGTCAGACTAACTGTGAATACTTAAATTTCAGATTTGATTTGTCGCATTACAGTTGCCCGTATATCTCATCAAGTATCTCATCATGGGCGTCCGCAGGGGGGGGGCAAGGAGGGGCATTTGCCCCCCCTCGGAATCAAACAAGTATAAGAAAATTCAAAATTGGCTTTCTTATTTTTACAAATAATTAAAATAATAAATATGTTTGTCAAATGTGAGAGAGCTAAAATACAACACAAGTACACAACGTTTGGACATTTGCTCCTCGCGGTAGTTCGTATTAAAAATTTGGATCATGCCCCCCCTCTAGAAAAAATCCTGCGGACGCCCTTGGAAGCGATCTGTTGTTTTTCATGTTTCTCGCCAAGCAGATCGTTTCTGGTTACGCGATAATGCGATACGCGGAAAATATGCCTCACGGGACTCTACCCTAAGAAACGAAATAATGAATAATTTATAAGATGATTATCGGTCATTGCAGCAATGATTAATTTACATATACATTTAATATTAAAGAAATAAGTTATATATATTAAATTAATAATTTTAGAACAAAATATATGTCTAAAATATATTATTGTAAAATATGACAATATCGCATTATTTTCTACGTTGGCATTACCGTTTATCAAGCTTCA